CGTCGTCAGTTGGCGAACGCTTTTCTTTGATATCCTCTTGGTTGTTCTCTAATCGTCGTCGTCGTCGTCGTCGTCGACATCGTCGTCGCCGTCCTTCTGGACCGGTCTTCTCCTCGACGACGAAGGCGATGAGGACGACGAAGACGAAGACGACGAGGACGACGATCGTTGTCCTTCGGCCGTTAAGACGGAAGGCGATGGCTTGGGCTCGTATTTTCGGAGGTCAGTAACCAGAGAGAAGGAAAGCATGCTGCCGGCGAAGGAAGGAAGGCCACAAAAGTGGAGAAGGGGCGGAGACGGAAGAAGAGACCGTGTAGCTACGCGCGTGTAAACTCAACTCTCCACGAAAGGGAGGAGGAGGAGGAAGGATAAGAAGAAGAAGAAGAAGAAGGGATGGTGGAAGGGGGGAACCCGACGAGTGTTGGAAGATAAAAGGAGAGAGAGAAAGGTAAAAGCGAAGGAAGAAAGGATAAAAGAGAAAGATAGAGAGAGGGAGAGACGTAAGTAAAAGGGGGGTGGGGAAGTACCGTTGTTCCTGTCGATGGGGAATGCTGAAGGCGAACGAAACGAAACGAAACGAAGGTGTATCGGCCGCGAAGCCGAAGGAAAATAAGAGAGGGAACGAAGGAACGAAGGAACGAACGAACGAATGAACGAAGAAACGAACCGCGAGAGTTGTGCTGCTGCTGTTGCTGCTCCTCCTCATCGTTAAGAAAGAAAGAAAGAAAGAAAGAAAGAGAGATAGGAGGTGGGTAGGGGAAAGGCGGACTCCTCTCCTTTCTCGCTACCCTCCACCGGTTCTTCTCTCCCTCGTCGTCATCATCGTCGTCGTCGTCGTCGTCGTCGTCGTCGTCGTCGTCGCCGTCGTCGTCGTCGTCGCCGTCGTCGTCGTTGTCGTCGTCGTTGTCGTTGTTGTCGTCGTACACGCGCGCAGAGGTCCTACTCGCTTACACATAGGTGCGTGCACGTACACGCCAGCTCGTAGGGGAAGAGAGAGAGAAAGAGAGAGAGAGAGAGAGATACCTAGACTCACCTTACTCGCCGTACTCGTCAGTCCAAACCACGCGGCTTCGCACGGTGTACACGACCGTACGTCAAGGACGAGGACTCCTCTCTCAGTGTTCCTTCGCCCGCGCGAAGAGCAAAGTGTTGCTCGCGGTACTTCGATACCGCGACAATAATTCGATAATACGATTATTTATCATTCTTCGTTAACGCACCCGCAACGTGTATTTGTCTTTATTCGCGAGAATAGCCCTCTCCTCCAAGCCAACAACCCCTACAACTACAAGAAGGATTGCAACTTTAAGGAGATCGAACGAAGGAAGACGATCTTTACAAAAGGGAATCTTAAACGACCGGATTTATTTTCTACGGCAGTTCGGTCGTCATTTCGTCGTATCTTCTTCTTTAGTTGGATCTTGTTTTTTTTACTTTCCCAAGGACTATTTCGATTATTTTTTCAAAGTGTTAACTTATTATTCTTATTAATTGTAAAATCATAATACACCAAAGGATATTTGATCGTGATCGACGACGTTACATCGTCGTTTCGGAAAGTATGACAGTGACACTGTTGTTGACGTGTACATTTTGACGATTCTGTTGGAGGATCCAGGGATCCATCGGCTTCCAGATAAAACCTTAGCAAGGTGAGTGCTACGACTAAGATGTGAAAGAACCGACGTTCAAAACGACGTTGAAAACTCGTAATAACTCGTATTCTCGCTTCTGGAGACGCGTCCTCGCTTCGTTATCGTCCACGCGTGCCATTGACCTCGCACCATCGGGGAGAATAGCGGCAATATGAACGCGTTAACGAGAACCTTTTCTCTCTCCTTATTTCTTCTCCATCTATTCGTCCTGTTAACAAATATAACCGAGACAACAAAATAATTCATTTAGTGCAAAATACTATTTTTTGTTTTTTTTTTGTTTTTTTTTTTTTTATTACATTGGAACGTCATCGTCACGTATGACATTTTAAAATTTAAATTTATTACGAAAAAAGACAAATATTTTCTTCTATATCACGGTGATACTAGTAGTCAATCCCATTTTCTTCGTAGCTTTACTTTCCGATCAGTAAAACGTCTGGACCGAAACAGCTAGACTTTACTCGGGATCACCAGGCCGACTAACTTATCGATCGTCGTCTTGTCGCAAGGATACGTCCTGTATACATAGTCCTTACCGAATTCTTGACGATTTTTTCCTTCCGATTCCTTTTTACTAAAAAAAAATGTAACGCCCAATCAGCGAAATATCAAACACCGAACATTACCTTTCGTGTATTTGTAAAACAATTGGTTTTATTTTTCATTTTATCAACGACAATATTTAGTTCAATTACATTGTCACACTTTGATAAAAGACAATCCGTTCTATATTTTATTTTTTTAACGTTAGAAAAAAGCGAAATCATGGTGACACACTTTTCTCGAGATAATGTGAAAACATACAGTTAGATTATTTTCTATGCGTTCTATAATAATGTACCATTGCCTAAATAATATTTCGAGAATGATCTTCGAATCGATTGTACAATGTTCCTGTCATGTTTCTAAAGTGTTTCTCAGTGTATTCGTTCTTTGAGAACTTCGCTTTGTAACGGTACGAGAACAAAACTCTTACAGGATAATGAAGAAGAGGAAGAAGAAGAAGAAGAAGAAGATAACAAAAAAAAAAA